GGTCTCAGTTATTACAACGGCCGCCCTTCAAACCGAAACGCATTACTGCATTTCCAGAAATAGGCAGGGTGGCGGTCGGTACCTACCCGTGCGGACTCACAAGTCGTCCCTACCACCAGTAATTTCGCAAATTATAATTTGACGGATTTAATTTTTATTACATGATGTTATTCCTTCATTTGTTAAGTACGTATTTCATTAAAAAAATTGGTACCTGTCTGCGGGATTCGAACACCGTTTCATCGCTGGTTACGAGTGGACCGGACGTCTTATCCTTTAAGGCACGACGACTTCATAACAAGAGTAGAATTTTCAGAAGGTACTCGAAATTTTACGAATAGCGCTTTGATGTGCTTTGTTCAAATAAGTATTATTGTTTGTTGATTTAAACTTAAAGTTGATTGTTAAAATATATAACAGATGTCATCTATGTAAAACAAATATATAGAATATCAATAACATATGACAAGTCGTGATGTATTAGAAGTAATATTATTGCGCGAAATTCCTTTTTCATTCAGAATGACTGAACAATAACTTTTCTAATAATAAACATTTCTAGATTCAAGATTCTCGAATTTCAGACGATATTTAGTGTATTCGGCACTTATCACAGAGAAAATATTGTAGACAAATATATGATACTTCTAAGAGCTTACAGCAAAATAAACAGTTCACTTTTTTAGTAAATTCTATTCGAATAGATAGTACTACGAAATATCAAATCTATTCTTTTTATTTTAGTAAAATAATACTAACAGTTATGTAAGAAGCAAATAACTTATCCTTACAATCAAAGTGTATTAATTTTTGTTTAAATGATTAAGATGCTTTTTCTTAGTACATATAAGGACTGAACTGACTAAAGCCCGCTCCATATAAATATAGTATGTGGGAATGACGAGGTTCTTCGCCTGTTGCGAATCTCATCTCTCATTTCTCCTCGCCATCTTTATTTGTAATTATTAGATGCAAACACCCTAAGTCTCCTTCCTAGACTCCCCTAGGACGCCAAACGTGCACCTCTACCTCACCATATTTCTTCTGCAGCATGATGTATTTGCAGATATCAAGCATCGCCCGCCACCGATTGATACCTAGGATACGGCGCTGCCCTTTCCATATGGGATAGGCCGCGAACATCTGCTCCATATCCAAGTTACACAGAGAATCAAGACCCTAATACAACAAAATTAGAAGCTATATTAGAACATAACAACCCCAAGTAAAAGTATCCTCTAAGTCTTCATGAATATAACATTAACCGCGATGTACTTAAGAATTCCGGCCATTTTCCATGAGGTGCTCTTAATTGTATGGCTTTTGTAGGATGGACTAGGATTTAGGATCTCGTTAACACACTCAAATGCCTTCGGGATGTAGTGCTGGAGGAAAATCCAGCGGATCCCATTGACTGCACATCGGACTAACGCATCTATACTCGCGAAGCCCAAAATCAAAACAAGCCTTTCTAACAACTGCCTTAAGTGACTTAATTCGTGACTCATTCGGACACATTGCCACGAGAAACGGAGACAAACTTGTTGTCTCCGTTGTTGTAAACAAAAGTTGTTAGTTAAATGGCAGGAAAAAGATAATGGGGCCGCAGCTAATGCGTTGGTCTGGTCAGATCTGCACCACCTTTGGACCTACTGTCTACGACGCTCTTCAAGTAGCCGAAGACCGAATGAGATGGCATAACATCGTATGCAAAAGGAAGCGGAGGTACATACGATACAAATACATACCGTAGACGAGTCCATGTGTTCGATGTAGCGGTAGCCATCACAGACCACAAGATATTTGACAGATGCCTGAATCTCGCTTACGACATTTTCAAGATAAGCCCTCATATATACAAGTTACGAACAACAACATTTGGACCGTCGGTCTACCAAGTAGACGTGGGGAAAATCGTTCCTTTTCAGTCGCCGTGACTGACTGACGTACCAGTTACGAAAAAGTCACAGCGACAAATCAACGTAACTTTGTTACGACAATCATTTACATCAGAATGTAGTATTCGGTAATCGGTTTCATTTCAGTAGACGTTTTTAATTTACAACTAATGAAACCGGTTATTAAATAACGTATGTGGTGATTTACTTTGTGACAATTAGGTAGTTGATCTAAGATAACTAATAATAAAATTAAATAAAAAAATTCTTCATTCTATAAAAATAAATAATTCAGTTCTGTTTTTTTAATGTTTGGAAATCTTGTAAATTTTTAATAAGTTATTAATTTAAACAAAACCATAGTAGGTACTGCCCTTAAGTAGGACCTAAATGCTCTATGCCCCTGCCGCGGCCGAGTAAGCCTTCCACCGCCTTCCCCGAATCAACCCGATTAGTGCCGATGTTAACCGAACTACGTTCGCGACTGATTTACAACGAATAATTGACGTGACGTAAAGGACCAACGTTCCGGGAATCGAAATGACTTTGTGATGTTGTTCCTTCATGGCATGTCACAACTCACAGGACGGTTTGTCGCTGTGACTTTTTCACCGTGACAGTATTTATCACCCATCTCTACTACCGAGCAATACCACGTGCTCGGTTGATGATCTTTCTTTCATCGTTAATTCCCACATTCAAGATACGTACATTGTTGATTTCCTAGTGTCTTAGAATAACATTGTAACTTTGTGCCAGCATGGAACCGCGAAACGACATCAGCCCGAAGTCTCATTTAGGTTGTTAGCTGCAAATGTTTGAGTTACCCGGCTTCCTGTTATTTTCTGAATTTTTTTGTGGTCATAAAAAACATACGCTTGCATGAATAGCAAAGGCCACCGCCCAAAAGGTGAGGTAATAATGAAGTCCAAAAATAGGCTTGGGAATGGCGTCACTTGGCAGCTCTTCAGCATTTTAAGACGAGTACTTTAACATGAAAATGATATATGACCAGATCCCGATAACTCAACGATATCCTATGAGATCGAGAATTTTCATGCTTAATAATAGGGGTTAAAGTATGAAATTGCCGTTTTATTGTAATAGGTAATTCGAATTGACATAGAACCTAAAAATCGGCAATTCCATACTTTAACCCATAATATCTAAAGTCGTTCAGAAACTCCATTTATTCATTTAGGTTATCGACTACCTCAGGCGGGGTCTTCGGAGTGCTAAAGTATCTTCTATCTAATCTTGCTCGGTAGTCTGCAGCCCAGTCGCATTATATTCATTCATCTCAAAAACTAAACCTTTACGGGCAAAGGGAAGACCTTCCACCGAGCGGGTGATATTTGATCGGTAGACCGACGGTCCGAATGTTGTTGTTCGGAACTTGTACGCTTATGCGCCGATATATATATTATATAATTACAGCGCATCTATATGGTCATGTGGCACACAGAGATACGATACCCAAACGATGGTCGGACAAAATAGCGGAGGAACTGGGGATACCTGTCAGCGAAGCACTCCCCCGGGCTGCAGGATGGGATCGATGGAGACAGCTGGTTGACGGAATCGGACGGAGTCACGATCCTCAGCAGTGAGGGACCGATCGAAGAGAGAGAGATGCGCTTATGTTGAAAATGTCGTAAGTGAGATTCAGGCATCTGTCAAATACATTGCGTTGTATGATGGCCACCGCCACACCTTCATACAGTGTACGTCTTAAATTGCCTAACAACAAAATAAAACATATACATATTTCAGACGAACGGACTTCGCTATTTGGAATCTGCTCTAAAATAACTATAATTATCTTCTTTATTTGTTAACAACACTAAATGTGTTAACAAATAAACCTTATCTACTTAATATCAATAAAAACTAAATTCTAATTGCTACAGCACTGCGGAGATTACCATCCTCAAACAGACAGCAGTGTTTTTTTTTAAATTAGGACTGTTTTGTTACGTTTAGTTCTTTTAATTTAAAGTTAGATGTTTTGGGCATCAAAGCACAATAATAATAATTAGGACTGTTATACAGTTGCCAGACATTTCGACCCTGGGATGTTTTGTGTCAATACTAGTAAATTAAATGCATCAACCGTGTCCGTTGAACTGCGGGTCGGAGGCCTGTCTCGCTGGAAAACTATGATTAATTTATACGAGGTGACTCGCCCTGATTTGAGATAGTATAGTATAGTATAGTATAGTATAGTATAGTATAGTATAGTATAGTATAGTATAGTATAGTATAGTATAGTATAGTATAGTATAGTATAGTATAGTATAGTATAGTATAGTATAGTATAGTATAGTATAGTATAGTATAGTATAGTATAGTATAGTATAGTATAGTATAGTATAGTATAGTATAGTATAGTATAGTATAGTATAGTATAGTATAGTATAGTATAGTATAGTATAGTATAGTATAGTATAGTATAGTATAGTATAGTATAGTATAGTATAGTATAGTATAGTATAGTATAGTATAGTATAGTATAGTATAGTATAGTATAGTATAGTATAGTATAGTATAGTATAGTATAGTATTTGATTATAATTTTTAGAATGATTATTTAAAGAAATAGAAACTTTAATATCGTCGCAAACCTGTTTGTAATATACACATTCCAATATAAAATATTCGTGTGATGGATGCTCCAACTTTTCAAACCCGGTCTTTTCTTTATGGATAGAATACACTAATACTAATTAATGTAGACATTAACAAACAAAAAAAACCTTTTTAAGCTTGACCTTTTAAACTTAAACCTTTTTTGATATCTATACTTCTATACTAATATATAAATCTACAGTGGTTTACGGATGTTCCGTTATAACTACTGAACCATGCATTCGATTGACTTGAAACTTGGTATCCATGTAGAAAATACATGTACTTAATGGATAGGCTAATATTTATATGGGTGTTGGATTCCCTGCACTAGTTGCGGGGGTGTTAATGATGAGAATCTTTGTGGGGGTGAGAAATAATAATGTTAATTTTAAATGCCCAGCGGGTATAGTTAGTAATTTATATAAACATAAGTTTGTATAACTAAAAATAAAACTAGAAAGGTAAACTCACATTTCCAGGTGACCACGGCTCGACGTCTTCATCTCCAGCCGTTGACGGAACTTCCACCATTGTCTCCAAGCAACACCGGCCTGAGGAAGGAAACAGTAGTTATTAACCAGAAGGATCTTCCTCGAACCACCGTTCGTGTGGCTGTGTAGTCCTATTTTTTTGAAATATCTTTACGGCATTGACATCAACCATGCTTTACAAATTCAGAAAAAATTTAGACACTAATTCAATCACCACAAGCTCGACACGAAATCTAATCTGAATTACTTAATTACTTATTTTAATAGTTTGCACAACGAGTGCTCATTGTACTTTCTACTACAGTAGTGTGTGTGTGTGTGTGTGTTTATAATAATCTTTAATCATTAATAACTTATGTTTATTTTAATTTATTAAATAATATTTTATGATTCATACACATATGGACTGGTTTCAGAAATAAATTATATCAATTAATTTAATTTAATTAACTTCTTTCTCTGAGGATAGGGCGGAGCCACGAAGCAGTTACGCGTTCGGATTTGTGCATTGTGACAACCGTCATCTATTAAAATATAAGCTTAGACCTCATCGCTAACCTTTCCATTAAGTGGCTTTTTTCTGTTCATCAACATTAAAAGAAAAACTATCACCGTCGGCTGAACTTGATTTAGCTGAGTGATACAAATAAGAAACTCGTGTTAAAACCAAATCCATTTGCGATTTCAATTTATTATGAGCTTAATATGACCACAACCAATGTGGCGGTTCCAAAGCTATTAGACCGAAATAGCAGGTGTTCTTCGATAGGCAAAGTCAACGTCGCGGACGTCAACAATAAACATGCATAGATCTGAGGACGGGCGACTATTCTCGGAGCACTTAGTGTTAGGCAGTTTCCTGATGACACTATTATGCTTTCATAGAATGCGTATATCAGAGGAAGTGTGAAAGTAGCCCCGGTAATCAAGAAATTAAAGAGCGGACGGTTAGCGTGGTATGGACGTGTGATGCGTAGAGAGAAGATGCATGTGACCAAGAGATAAAGGAAAATGGTATTGCAAGGTAGAGGGGGAAGAGGTCGACAGAAGAAGACATGGATGGAGTGTGTGAATGACGATATGAGAGAGCGAGGAGTGAGTGTTGAGATGACTATTATGCTTTCAGAGCATGTCGCCAGTCGTTTCTATTGTGTAACTGATAGTTTTTTACGATTTAGACATTACAGTAAACCTGTATTTGTGGGCAGAGCGGTTATGGCATAGGGAAGATACACGTATGGCCTCAACACGCTCCACTCCCAAGAATTGCTTAGAAGAGTTATCAAGACCCTAGTCCCGCGGCTCTACTGAGCTCACAGCACATCTGATATGAAGTTACCGGAACTGTAGACATCATCACAACGCGAATGCCACCACTTAAACTGAGATATGGGGCGAAGTCTCAACTGTATACAGTTCCATCCGTCAAACTGAAGGCAATCAGGCTTTAGGGTAGAAATAGGCAATGTAGTAGTACCTACCCGTGCTGATTGACAATGCACTTTATCGTTATTAGTGACATTTGACAGCACCACAGAAATATACCATCAGGTGGACCGTATGCTCGTTTGCCTGCTCGGGCAATCTATATATATAAAAATGAATTGCTGTTCGTTAGTCTCGCTAAAACTCAAGAACGGCTTGACCGATTTGGCTAATTTTGGTCTAGAATTATTTTTGGAAGTCCAGAGAAGGTTTAAGAGGATTTAGATAAATATAAAAAAGCTCGAAATTATATAAAAACAAACACTTTTGTTTTTCCTTTGATATGTCCCCCGTCGAAATAATTCCTTTTGTTTGTTTTAAGTTTATTTTATACAAAAGTTTAGATCTTTTATTTATCGATTGAGGCACTACGAAGTCTGCCGGGTCAGCTAGTAAATAAATAAATAAAAAAGAGCACAATAACTCTCATAAAAATATTCTCTTACAAATCGTTTCGACTATAGCACGCCTTAGATTTCCGCACAGACGAACAATATACCAAAATACTGATTGTACTGCCGATATATTCGATACAAATTAGGTCAGATGGAATCTAATGCGTTTACTGCAAGAGTCAGAAAAGCTACGAGATTACATTTCGGAATCATTCAATTGTAAATAGAATAATAAGGAAGCAAAGAGGAAAGGAAGATGGAAAAGTATTTCTTTATTGAGAATTTGCGATTGAAAAAACAATCTTAATTAATACACAATACGATCGGGAATCGTCGGCGATAATTGTAAAATTTTTCAAAAAAGATGTGTGGTGTCGTGGGACACCGGATAGGAACGAAGTCCCTTCTTCGAAAAATATTAATTTTGAGTTCTATTCGAGGTATAAAGAAAATAAAACTGGAGGTTTCGGAACAACCCACGGTCACTCGGTAACGTGCGAACTTATTGTGGTACACTTCATTTACGGTTGTTTGCATAAGTGTTAGTGTATTGCGCAAACGAACGCTCTGAGATCGTGGTCAATGAATGCTAAAAAAATATGTTATTTTTTGTACGTTATTACAAAGTTAAGTCGTACACTGTGTGCATTACTAATAAAAATCTTACGTTACGGACGTTTTTTTCCGGTTAGGGTACCCCTCCGCATCGTCCCATAAGGAACTTCGTTCCAAAAAAACTCGGCATTAACCTGTGAAAGCGTTTTAATCAAAAGCACTACGTATATCTACGTGTATCATCTTACTGGTGGTAGGACCTCTTGTGAGTCCGCGCGGGTGGGTACCACCACCCTGCCTATTTCTGCCGTGAAGCAGTAATGCGTTTCGGTTTGAAGGGTGGGGCAGCCGTTGTAACTATACTTGAGACCTTAGAACTTGTATCTCAAGGTGGGTGGCGCATTTACGTTGTGGATGTCTATGGGCTCCAGTAACCACTTAACANGTACCACCACCCTGCCTATTTCTGCCGTGAAGCAGTAATGCGTTTCGGTTTGAAGGGTGGGGCAGCCGTTGTAACTATACTTGAGACCTTAGAACTTGTATCTCAAGGTGGGTGGCGCATTTACGTTGTGGATGTCTATGGGCTCCAGTAACCACTTAACACCAGGTGGGCTGTGAGCTCGTCCACGCATCTAAGCAATAAAAAAAAAATATGTATAGCCTTTGAAATAAGATCACCTTTACTTAAATACCATTTAACAAAGCTTTAGTTCAATGGCCGCACAGACATCCAATACTACGAAGAAGACAAAATTAAGCGAAACGTTGGAATTTGTATAATCATTAAAATTACTTTTACGGTTTAATCTTGCGTTTTTTTATTGTCATAATACGTATTATCTCAAACATTTCGAATATCTTACAGTTTTCGTGGCCGGACGGACGATCAAAGGTGTATTTATTAACTACTAGCTGACCCGGCAGACTTCGTAGTGCCTCAATCGATAAATATAAACTGTTGTATAAAATAAACTTAAAACAAACAAAAGGAATCCGTCCGACGAGGGACAGATCAAAGGAAAAAGCAAAACTGTTATTTTTATTGAATTTCGAGAATTTTCACGTTTATAAACCTTTTAAACCTTCTCTAGACTTCCACAAATAATTCAAGACCAAAATTAGCCAAATCGGTTCAACCGTTCTCGAGTTTTAGCGAGATTAACGAATAGCAATTCATTTTTATATATATAGATTAATAAGGTGTTGAGTGAAATGAAACGTAAAAATCTAAAAGTAATTTTATAGAAAAATAGACCGTACATCATGAGCTGGTAATCAGTAATTAGCACAATATTCAAATATCTACGAATAACACCCTAAGATGTCGGTGACCACGAAAACTGTTTGTGTTTTTATATGAATCTATGACGCGCGAAAACCGAATAAAGTACTATTTTTTTAATAACAAATCATGAGAGAAAACAAGATTACCTAATATTTCTGATCGTGACACACGTGAGAGTATTCCACAACGGTAATAGTATTATTTATCGACGCATAAAGAAGGTTCAATAAAAACCGCATATGCAATAAAAAATATTAGCACCCTGTACTAGTCTCGACTATTACTACACTATATGGAGTACGGATTCGTCACGTTCTGATTAGCGCTAATAAAATTTAACGGGGGTTTGTTGAACCGACTCGAAATAGAGAAAGATCTCTTTGTATGCAAACCACGAGCACCATGTCTCGTGAACCGGTAATGCATTTACTGAAGTCGGGACACGAAATACTAAGAAACAAGAGTTAAGGTAATTTACTGCTGATAGGATGTCTTATGAGTCTACACGGGTAGATACTCCAACTATTTCTGCCGTGAAGCAGTAATGGGTTTCGGTTTGAAGGGTGGGGCAGCCGTTATACTGTGAAACTGAGACTCAGAACTCATGCCTCAAGATTGTTAATGTCTATGGGCTCTGGTGACCACTTAAAACCAGGAGGAGTGGGCCGTCAGTTCGTACACCGATCTAAGAAAGTTCTAAAGAAGTTTTAGACTTTTTGTTCGTCTCCCAAAGAAAATGCCACATCAAATGAATGGCTAATCAAATGACTTAATTTCAGGTATGTAATAAAACACACATGCACGTTTGAAATTCTGACTCTAATATACCACGTAGTATAATAATATGTATTTTTATGTAGCGCTAGAGTGCTGCGGAATATATCCGAAATATGTACTACGCGTATGCCTGAATGTGTTTTACGATAATGGAGTTATGGGATGAGTCGATAGTGGTGTTCGATCTATTTGCGATCACGACTTTCAGGAATCAATCGAAAGTTCGAGATGATCTCATTGAAATATGAAATTAAACGTTTTCAAATTACTACATTAGAGGATTTGCGATATTTTAAAAATAACTTTAACATTAAGTTAGTTGTTGATAGTTATAATAAATAATTAGAAGGTATTAAATACGGTCTGTTTTTATTGGCTAAGACAGGCTGACGAGCTTATGGCCTACCTGGTGCTAAATGTTTACCAAAGCCTACGCCAACAACAACATTAATGCCGCCACCCATCTCGACATATGAGTTCTAAGGTCTCAGATTTTACAGTAAAACTTTAGCCGAAACGCATTACTGGTTCACGGTGGTGGTACCTACTCGTGCAGACTC